CGACTCGCACCCCTTACCCCCAAAACCCAAAGTTGAAGTGTCCACATTTTGTCCCTGGCGCGCGGCCTGCCGCCTAACCCCGCCAACTTTGAGTTGGGGGAAAGGGGGTATACATAGTCGTTCGACGTGATTTGACGACGAGTTGTCTTGGCGCGACAAGTGTGGACACTTTTTGTCCGCCCACCGTGGTTCTTATGCTCTTGATTGGTGCTACAATACGGCGAGGGCATTGGATAAGGAATCGTTGGATAAGGAACCCAGGGTCTCGAAGCCAGTGGACCTCCAATTGTGGGTCGGCCATGGACATCGCCACCGCCCTCATCGGATAAGGGATCCTCCAGGGCCTGATGCCTCCTGGGCGCATTCCCTAACCAACGCCCGCACCGTAAATCTGAGTGCGTCTCGCGCGAAAGCCCGAGCACGGACAGAGGGGGGAGGAGAGGTGCGGAGGACGGCGGATGTTGATGATGTCGGTGATGTTGGCGATGTCGATGATGTTGGTGATGTTGATGTTGATGATGTTGATGTTGTTGATGTTGGTGGTGGAGGCTGGCACCGCTGGATATAACTGGATAGAACTGATAGAACTGGTCATAAAACTTGCCCATTAAAAATAGGGTCCGGCGTAGAACTGGTCGGTCACATTGAAGAATATTTGAGAATATCAATAACTCTTCTTCTAAATGCGACCAGTTCTAGGCCGGACCCTGTTTTTAATGGCCAGTTCTATGACCAGTTCTATGACCAGCTCTACCCAGTTATACCAGTTCCGCGCCGTCGGAGGCGACGGCTGGGGAGCCCAGCGTCGGCCTCGTGATTTGAACCAGACGGCGGCGGGCCCCCAGACCTTGTCTCGAAGTGGCCATGTAGGTTGTCCCGTGGCTGTCCCGTGGGTAGTCCCACGGTTGTCCCAAGGGCTGCCCCGTGGGTTGTCCCGTGGTGGTCCCGCGGGTTGCCCCATGGGTTGTCCCGCGGTGGTCCTGCGGGTGTCCCGTGGTTCCGTATACGCGCACATCGCCATCTAATTGTGTGTCGTGCTGGACGCAGAAGCACGCACCAACACACACTTAAATGCACGCACGCATCTAAGCACGATGGCACCATGAAACCACCAAACACATCTAACCCGGAAGGGCGGCAAGACACTGCGACGTGATAGCAAGCGCAACAGCATGACGCACTCGACTCGCACCCCTCCCCCCCGAAACCCAAAGTTGAAGTGTCCACATTTTGTCCCTGGCGCGCGGCCTGCCGCCTAACCCCGCCAACTTTGCGTTGGGGGAAAGGGGGGTCTACATATTCGTTCGACGTGATTTGACGACGAGTTGTCTTGGCGCGACATGTGTGGACACTTTTTTTTCCGCCCACCGAAGAGCTTGGAGGCGCACGTCCACCGTTAAAAAAGGAATACTGAACGCAGCCGGGGTGCAAGCTACGGGGTGAATACGAGCACGAAACAGTTCGAGTTTAAGCGGGGTCAGAATGTGAGTGACGAATCGTACGCGTGAGTGTGCGAGTGGTTCTGTGTGAGTCCGAGTCTCAGATTCAGTGTGTTTCAGTGTCAGTGAATGTGAGTATTGGAGGAAGTTGGTGAGGTGTGGCGCGGAGGAGGAGGAAGAGGAGGAGGAGGCGGAGGCACCACACTAACAACAACACCCCGGATTTAGAAAATGAGGATCCTGCAGGACAACACCGACATTCGCACTGCGGAACCCCAATTCAATCCGCGCACGCGGGGACGGTGCAAGACCCTTGGGACCCCTCGTTCTGACCTCCTGTCACCCGTCGGGCTCTCGGGCCGAACACCCTGCCAAGGCCGCAGTCTCTGCGTGCCGATGGCCTCGGCGCCCGCGGCACCCTCGTTTTGCGCACCTGGGCGGAGTAGTCGCTGGCGGTGGGCCAGCGTCCTGTCAGCGCGCGCGCACGCGCTCGAGCTCGGAGAAGAAGAAACAACGGTATAAACGTAAATGTTCGGAGTTCCGCGCGGATTTCTTGAATTTGCGGTGGGCCTCCCTGGCGGCGCTTCTGGCGCCGCCTATGGCGCGCCCCGGGCGCCAGGAAGGGGGTCCCAGCGCAGATCCAATCAATCCGTGCGGACCTCCAGAAGTTGATGTTTACGCAGTGTTTTGTCCGTCTATCACTGTTCCCTATTTATAAATGCCCCTTCCCCCAGGCGACTGGGGGCCAACCAGGGTCCATGCCGACCCCCCCCCCCACCATCCCTTGCAAAAACAATGCAAACCACACTCTGCCTCCAAATTCGGAACATGCGCAGCCAACCCGATGCGCCCCCCCCCCCCACCATCCCTGTCAAAAAACAACACAGAGTACACTTGGCGGCGGCGGCGGCTGCGGCGGCTGCGGCGGCGGTGGCGGCGGCTGTGGCGGAGGCGGCGGCGGCGGCGGCGGCGAGGGCGGCGGCGGCGGCGGCGGCGGCGGTGGTGGCGGTGGCGGCAGCGGCTGCGGCGGCGGCGGCTTTGGCAGCGGGGCTGCGGCGGCGGCGGCGGCAGCGGCGGCGGCGGCGGCGGCGGCAGGCGGCAGGCGGCGGCGGCGGCGGCGGCGGGCAGCGCGGCGGCGGCGGCGGGCAGCGGCGGCGGCGGCGGCGGCGGGTGCTACGTATGTGTTGGGAGGGCGGGTGGGAGTGAGCGAAACGGCTTGCGGGCGGGGAGGGGGCAACTTGACTCTCACCCCCAGCCCGCCCCCCCCCCCGCTCCGTGGCACCAGGCACGGCGGACCGCTCCTGGCCACTTTCGGCCTCCGTTGAAGGGCCCTTCCCCGGCCCACACGTAGAGGCGGCGCCCAGACGGCGCATCGGGCAGAAACCACGCGAAGCGAATGCCACGATAATTGATGCAGATATACGAGAATGCAGGCGCGTCGGTGCACAGACAGGCAGACACTGTGCTCAAAGCAATGTTGGGCAGCGGATGACAACACAATACAGTCTGGCCCGTGCATAGGCCGTTTTTTTCTGTTTTTTGGTTCCTTCCTGATCATGGCCATTCCACCGTGTACACGAGAACATTGGCCACGCGACACGAGAACATTGGCCACGCGGCCACTTGTACCGCTTACCAAACAGAATTCACAACGGAGTACTTGGCTTATGAAAGACATAAACGTGTACCCCTGCAAAGATTGGAAACTTGTAAGACGAATGTGCGCCGCGCCAAGACGATACCACCATTTGAAGACGACACCCCCCCATCCGTGTAGCTATTGATGATGTGATAGGCCCCCTTTGTTGAAACGACCTGCGCTCCATCCGTGCAATTGTTGGAAGTCTCAAGCTTTGAGATCGCACAGAAATCTCAAGCGAAACGCCCAGCCCGCCCTAGCGACGCGACAGGGAAGGCTTGTCTATAAGTATATGGGATGGATGACAGCTATACTTATATACGTATATGCGTGAATATGCATAAGTATCTAACCAAAAGGTTACGAGTCTAATATAATAAGTACATAAGTAGATTTGCGCGTCTAGAAGCAAACCTATAAGTATACACGTGTGCAGCATACATATCAGCATAATTCATAACGTATATACGTATGTAAGCATTCTATATTTATGTACGCACAATTATAATATGGACCCAAACTTATATAAGTATATGAGTGAATAGCTCTCGCCCGCAGTTTGATCCATGTCATCCATCCTCCCTCGTTGCCTCCATCCTCCTTCCTCTTCCTCCTCCTCCTCATCCTCCGCTTCCTCCTCCTCCTCCTCCTCCTCCCCCTTCTCATCCTCCTCCTTTTCTTCCTGTTGTTCCTCCTCCTCCTCCTCCTTCTCCTCCTCCTCCTCCTCCTCCTCCTCCTCCCCCTCCTTTACTGCTATCTACCCCCGCCCCTCCGTCATAGCGAGACGTACACCAACCCCAGGTCGTCCTCGTCGTGGACCCACCATTGGCATTGCAAGTACATGCGGGGGTCGGGGTTGCGATTGACATGTGGCCGGCGCCGAGGCGAGAGCACGGGTTCCGAGCGAGCGAGGGTGCCCCTTTTTATTTTGATCGTCGGGGGCACCCGTCTTCCACGCACAGCAGCACCAGAAGCGGCGGCGGCCATTGGGCGCGCGTCCGCGGCGCGAAAGTCGTGCCATCCCACGGCACCCACGCGTGCGACGGGTACACTGGGTACCCGCGCGCACGCGCGGGGAAGTACCAGAAAGGAGGGCGATCCATGCCCCATTCCCCCGGCAACTTCACCGACAGCCCAGGCCACGCCCCCAGCGGGCGCCTGGGCGCCTGCGGGGGGACGACGGCCCCCCCCACGTGGGGAAGGGGTACTCGGGGTGCGGCAGGCCAGGGGGCGCGGGGGGAGGCAGACGGTGGGCCACCGCTAGCGCCATCGTCGCGCTCGAGCCTCGGCGAGCGCGGCGAGACAGCGGAAAACGGATGTTAACTTCAAAATCCAATCGGACACCGCTAAGGGTTCACATTAGTTTCCAAACCAACTCGCCGTGTGCCAAACCAGTTGGCAGATGTGATGTCGGCCCCCAGATGTGCCAGCATTGTTTCTTATGTTGTGGGAGGGCGGGTGGGAATGGGCGAGGCCCGATGACTCCCTCGAGTTGGCTAGCTTGATTCCTATTCCTTATTGGTGTATACCTTCACTCTGCCCTTTCCCCGGCGCCAAGACGGCCCTAGGAGGCCTCGAAAAGGCTCCCCAGAGGCCCCCAAGAGCGCCCCAAGAGGGCCCCAAGAGCGCCTCGAAAGTTCCCAAGAGCGTCCCAAGATGGCCCCAAGAGGCGCCAAGACGGCCCCAGAAGGCCTCCAAGAGGCTCCCAAGAGACCCCCAGGAGGCCTCAAGGGGATCCCCGAGGCAGGTCGGGGGTACGCAAAGCGTCCAGGTGGCGATACGCGAAGCATCAAGAATTGGTCCAGGTGGGGATACGCGAAGCGTCAAGAATAGGTGATAACGACGATGGTTCACTTCTCCATCGCAACGCGGGCGTGCCCAGCCCGATGCATGTAATTACACTGTGTCGCACCAGCGTATGACTACACTGCGTCGCACCACGGGTCGGGCGTGCTCTTGTCGAGCTTGCCGACGAGGATGAGGAGTTTGAGCATCAGACGGCCGACTACGGGCACACTCATTGTGTTGCCGATCATTAGGTTGAACTGGCGATCCGTCACCTTGCGGCCCTTCTCCGTGAGCAGACCTTTCCAGTTCAGACGGCTTTTTGGGAAGCCCTGGATAGCCAACATCTCGGTCGTGTCCATCATGCGGGAGTGGCGGGTCAGGTAGTAGCCGCCGGCACCTGCCCTGGTCCTCGTCAGAGTCGGGAACTTGCCGACTTGCCAATTGTCGCCGAAGTTCTCGGACTGGTACACGTCCAAGATGATGTCGTCCTTAGCAAGGTCGTAGCCCGCACCCTTGACAACGCCAAGCAGGCGGGCGAGGTTGTTCAGGCAGGTCATGTCGGTAGGGATGTTGGCTGGCAGCGTCGGGTCGATGAAGTCCTTCACGCGCTTCAGTGGTAAAGAGGTGGGCCATTCAAACGATTGGCCCTTCGATCGGCTGCGCAACCATCCCACGATGTAGGTCCGAGCCCTAGTGGTCGGGAGCCCGTGGTCATCCGAGTTCACCTTGCGATACTCCACCTCGTAGAGGGACTCGCCATTCTTGGAGATGGCCCCCTGCCGGATGTGGTCCACGAACTTGTTCAGGGTCTTCCTGTGTTTGCCCATGAGAGTGGGCGCTTCTTCGATCACGAAGCAGGCGGGCTTCTGAGTGGTGATGTAGACGGCGCATTCCAAGATGATCTGGCCCCGGCTGTCACCCTCCCCGCTCTGGTTGCCACCCATCGCGAAGGGCTGACATGGGGGCCCCGCGGCATATACGTCCACCTTGGGGACCTGGCTGACTGTGCGATCAGCCGTCTTGCATGAGTGGTAGACCTTCTTGATGCCGTGATTGGCCTGCATGACGGCGCGGGTTTGTTGGTCAATCTCGCTGGCGAATTCGTGGCTGATCCTGTCCTTGCCGATGATCATCTCCAGCGCCACCGCGTGAGAGCAGAGGCCATCGCAGTCGCCGCCCAGGCGGATGATGTCTTTGCCACGCGCCTTGACGTAGCTCTTGATAACATGTGTATGCACTTGCTTAGGCTCCGAACTCTTCCTCTTCGTTTTGGCTGCGGCCGAAGGTTTGTTCATCACTGCGGCTCTGGGTGCAGAAGCTGGCTTCTTCGCCGGCGTCGCCTTCCCCGTGGTCTCAGCAGACAACCCATTACGAGCTAGGCGTTGGGATCTCAGCATGGCCGCCCTCTCCTGGAGCCGTCGAACAGCTCTGCTCTCCATGGTGCGCGAATGCCTTGCCACTGCGTAAGATATTTTATGGCAAGTGAGTTTGAGCCAAAACTGGCTATGGATGATGCGGTGATGATGATAACAATGATGATGGTGGTGCTGATGGACAGCACAGAGTATGGACGAATATGATCGACGAGACGGTGATGATCATGACCACGATGGTAACCATGATGATGGATAGTCGTGATGGGGGGGGGTATGGTTTGGTGTTGATCACGATGTTAATAATCTCCATTGGGTGATTGTGGACATTGGCATGGCTGCGATGCTGATGATGGTGATGGGGTTGGGGACGATGCTCTTTTTTTGTCAGTGGCTATCGCCAAATGGCGTATCGCATGCTGCACGTCCAGTGCTTCCCAGTCTGATCCCCGACCACCAAAGAACGCGAGGCACATTGTTGGCAACCTTGCCTGGCAATGCTAGCAGCGTACATCGTGGCCAATGCATGTGATATCCACGCCCCAGAAGCAGCATCCGAGGCGGGCCGTATCGCTGCGAGGCCCGCTGGATGACCAGAAGCGTGCGTAAAGAAAAGAAAAGAGCACGCAGCCACCCTCGGAGGTTCTAAGAAGATCACTCGTCCTCATCATCCTCATCACGGTCGTCGTGCTGGCTTGGATCATCATCCTCATCATCGGCGGGCTCCTTTGCCTCCGGCTCATCCGTGCCCTTGCCCTTCTCGTCGACGGCGGCGCACTTGCTCCCGCTCGGGCCGCTGCCTGTGAGGGCCTTGATCTTGGCAAGCAGCGCCTCCTTATCACCGGCGCCCTCTTGACTCACTTTCGGCAAAGTCTTAGGCTGCTTTGGCTGCTGACTCGTCTTCTTGCGCCTCTTGGGGTCCTGTTTCCCAGGGTCCTGCGGCGTCGTGTCTTTGGCGCAATTTGCCACCGCCTCGGAAAGCAAAGGACTGAACAGGGAACTCTTTTCATCCAAGAACTGCCGAACGATCTCTGCGAGCAGGAAGTCTTTCACCTGATCCGCGTGGAACTTATTGAAGGTCACTCCCACCCACAAGAGCTTCAGCATTATCGCAACTATGGCGAAGACGCCCTGGTTGGGCGTGAGGTCCACCATGGAGGTCAAGTCCAGGCAATGCGCGATCTCCTCGGCGGCGTCCTGGGGGATGGACTTGTAGAACACCGGAATCCTCTCATCCTTGCCAGGCACGGGGTCGGGCCCATCATCGGTCGGGCCACCCACTGCAGTACGGTGCTTGTCGTGCAAGATCTTCTTCTCTGCCTGGGTCAGCTTGAAGATGCCCGCGTCGTCGTACTTCGGCAGCGCGACTGGGCCGAGAATCATGCCGCGCGCAGTCCCCGGGAAGTGGAGCTTCTTCTTGACTGCGAGCGCCACGGGGTCCGCAGCCACGATGTTGAAGGTCTCGGTCTGGTTGATGGTGCCCCTGACGCGGTCCATCCGCGCTGTGACAGTCTCCTCGTCAAAGAGCAGCATCTTGGAGATCTTGTTCCTCGGCGTGCTGGTCCCGTCCTCGCATCTGAAGGCTGACATCATGGTGTTATCAAGACCGTCCTTGTTGCCGTTGAACAGGATGATGTAGTCCGCAGGGTTGATGCCCTGGTAGTCCGCACCGCAAGCTTTGCCTCGGACCTTCAGGGCAATGTGCATGAGCCGCTTGTAGTGGGCGTCGCGGTAGGGGGCGCAGCGCGTCTTCGGACTGGTGATGGCCTCGCCGCTGCAGGAGACGCTGTAGATCACCCCGACGTGGGTGCTGAAGCCTGGCACATTGCCAGGGACGTCCTGGCGAGTCTGCCGCGCGACAGGCTGGTACACGGCAGCGCGGACCTTCTCCAAAGTCGCCTCGAGCTGGTCCTCTGAGCCGTCCGCGACGTCCTCTGAGAGACTGAGGTCCAAACTCATCCTTGGAAATGGACCCAGTGCCGCAAAACAAAATGGGAAATTATCTCAGTGCGACCCTACCTAGGAGTTGGAGCCCCTAGGAAAGCAGCATAAGCTAAGCTAAGCTAAGCTAAGCTGAGAAGAGCTAAGCTAAGCTAAGCTAAGCTAAGCTAAACTAAGATAGGCTAAGCTAAGCTAAGCTAAGCTAAGCTAAGCTAAGCTAAGATGATGTAGGCTCAGCTAGTCTAAGCTAAGCTAAGCTATGCTATGCTAAGCTAAGCTGAGCTAAGCCAAGCCAAGCCAAGCTAAGCTAAGCTAGGCTAGGCTAAGCTAAGCTAAGCTAAGCTGAGCTAAACTGCGCTAAGCCAAGCTAAGCTAAGATGAGATAAGCTAAGCTAAGCTAAGGGGGCGCCACTGGGGGAACCGCGGGGCGGGGACTGGGGGAAAGGCGCGGGGTGGGGGAACACTGCCCGACCCCTTTCAGCCAAGAAAGTAAGAACCCTCAAGGCAGAGCCTAGGTAGGGAACCTGAGACGTTTCTGCAAGGATGGTATTGGATGTCAGTCTGCTATCCTCAACGAAAGCCAAGTGCGTGCGCATCAAGGTGGACGTCGCCTTCTCGACGCTGTCCAGCGTCTCGGAGTCGCAAGGCTCCAGCAGCTCCACGGTCTCCGGCGCCATGTGAGGGTTCAACAGAAGGCGGTGATTGATGGGCTGCTTTTTGACAGGGGTCTGAATGGTGGCCTCGTTCGCCGTCGCACCTGGGCTCATTGCTATGGAAAGCTGGACCTCATCCGCCTCGCCCATGTCTAGAAGATCGCCGCCGTCCTCGTCGTCGCCGTTCCCGCAGCCATCACCCTTGGCCTCATTCTGGAGATCCTCCGCCGCCTCGTTCATGAGCTCCTTAAGGCCTGGCGAGGTCAACATATCCGACACGGCCTTCTTGGCCCGAATCACAGGCTTGATCACCCCCTCATCGTAGGCGTCGCTGTAGATGAGCGCCTCAAAGATGCCATAGAAAGAATCAGCAGCAGTTGAAAAGGACGCTTTCCAAGATAAGTCCACCTCCTCATCGGGGAACCCGTTGCTGGCGCGGTACGTGACGTGATCAGAGAGGGACGTGCGAAAGGATTCCTTGACGTGAGATGGCAAGTCCGAGTTGTCCAACCAAGTGGAAGTGAGGTAGGTCTTCACCGTGTGCTTGAAGCAGCACACCTCAACCTTGCCGACGCGCTCGTTGGGTTCTGCCTTAGCAGTGGTCTTGCCCAGTAGGTCGCGCACTCCAGGAACCACTCTGTTCACAGGGGTCTTGGATTTATGATCGTCCCACAAGCTCCGAACTGTCCAAATGATCATTGCTGGCGTTTTCGCCTTCGACACGATGGCGTGCAGCTTGCTCACGCTGTCGAAGGCTGTTGCCTCGCAGGTGTCCTCGGCTTCCGACAGAATGGTCATGACTCCGCTGATCGAGAGCATGCGCTTGACGATGGAGAGGGCGTTGTCCACAAAGTTGGCCGCGACCTGCTCCTCGGGATCTTTGATGTTGCAATGCTGTTTGTACTCTATCTCGATTGCCTTGGAACTCATCGGCCCCGAGAGCTTCTCCTTCCGAGACTTGAAGCTTGACACCTCGAGGATGCGACCGAGGGCGGTGCGGCCCATGAGCCGCTTGTGGACACTCAAGTTCTCACGCGAGCGCACGGCGGAGAAATGGACATCGTCCATGGACTCCAGCTTGGCGAAAGTGAACTCCGCGGAGAGCGCGTATTCCAACCACTGCTTCAACTCCTGTGGGGTACCCCATCAGCACCACCCAATGTCTCTTTCGCCGCCCCTCTCCACCCACCCTGTCGTGGGAGAGAGGGGCGGTGAAAAGCACACTGGATGGTGCAGATGGGGTATCCCGCATCCTTCTCTGGCCGATTCATGGCAATCGCGTTCCCCAGGCCGATCACCCACGCGTGGATGGACTCCGGCGGCGTGGTCAGCTTCAGCTCCCCGGCAGCCAGCGTGGCCTTGAGGGTCTCCTCCGAGATGTTGGCAGAGAGGAACGCGTGAATGGGCAGGCACGGAGGCCCCGGGCGCTCGCCAAGAGCGTAGTGGTACTCGCTCAGCTCGGTCACTTTCTTGAGGCTGATCGGGACCCCAGGGTTGGCTTGGAAATTGAACATCACCCAGAAGATGTTGCCTCCGCCAGAGACCGCTCCAGAGCCTGAGCCCCCAGTCATGGCATTGACCACGTCACCAATCTCAATGGGCTTGCGCATCCCGACGGCGTTGTGGCGGTCAGTGTTGGCGCCCATCTGCAGCGGGTCGAACGCCCGAATACCTTCGAACAAAGGGTGGCTGAGGATCCGCTGGACGTGCTCATCGATCACAGACAGGTACTTGGCATTGATGGCGGCGTCGCCATCATCCATCAGGCCCGCCGGCTGCGGCGGCCCCGGCAGTGCACTCACCTTCGGGGAGGCTTTGGCCTTAGCCCTGGATGTCGCCTCCTTGGGCGGGCACGGACGCTTGCCCATATCCTCCAAGGAATCAAGAGAGGATACAAAACACCTTGATATCAAAAACGCTATCCATGATGACAATGATGATGGCAATGACGATGATGATGATGATGGTGGTGGTGATGATGATGCTGATGATGTTGATGCTGATGCTGATGCTGATGCTGATGATGTTGATGATGATGATGATGATGATGATAATGATGATGATGATGATGATGATGGTGATGGTGATGATGGTGATGATGATGATGAGGATGCGATTGCAATGACAATCATGAAATTGAAGAGACAGGGATTTGAGAGGGTGACGGGGAGAAGGGGCCGAGGGTGAGGAGAAGCATAAAGAGGAGCAGGAGGAGCAGGAGGAGCAGGAGGAGCAGGATAGGGGGAGTAAAAGGTGGCGAGGGGAGAAAGAGCAAGGAGAAGGGAAGGTGATGACGGGCGGGGTAGGAGGGGAGGGGCAAGGAAAGAGACGGAGGAGGCGGAGGAGGGAGGAATGAAGCAACCATTAAGGCAGCAGTGCTGAACATGACGAGTAGACCGCATCAACTTGTCGGCTTGGGGGCGCCCCTCCAGACCAGACCAGAGCCACGGATTGCCGAGTCTAGGTCCGACCACGCGGACTGAGACTCAGCAGGCCAGGACGTCCCGGCCTGCCGAGTCTGGGTCCGACAGATCGCAAATCGTACCGCCCAGCCCTGACGAGAGAAATATCGGTTGATTTTCTTAGTTGGCGGACCGAGACTCAGCAGGCCAGGGCGTCCCAGCTTGCCGAGTCTCAGTCCGCTCGGTCGGACCGAGACCCAGCAGGGCCTAGGAAATTAACGCACATACTGAACAGATCGGCGCTGTGGCGGGCAAGGCGCCGAGACTCAGCAGGCCAGGACGTCCCCGCCTGCCGAGTCTCTCGCTTTTGAGCGCGAGACTCAGCATGCCAGGACGTCCCCGCCTGCCGAGTCTCTCGATATCGAGTGCGAGACTCAGCATTCCAGGACGCCCCCGCCTGCCGAGTCTCCGAGACTCAGCATTCCAGGACGCCCCCGCCTGCCGAGTCTAGGTCCGCTCGGTCGGATCGTGACCCCTCAGGGTCAGGAAACGCCTCATCATCCTCATCCCCTTCCCCTCATCATCATCCCTCCCTCCTCTTCCTCCCTCCTCCTTTTCGTCCTCCATCAGTCCCCCTATCTAACTCCCCACATCCCTCATCATCCTTTCCTCCACCCTCCATCCATACATCCCGCTCCTCATCACTATCCTCCTCACCGGCGGTGGGTCAGCAGCAGGGCGATCCTGCTCGAGCTGGTCGTACTTGTTGAACGGCCGCGCGCGCGACCCCCTACATATCTCCCACCACTACTACCAATACCACTACCACTACTACTACCGCTACCACTACCACTACCACTACCACTACCACTACCACTACCACTACCACTACCACTACCACTACCACTACCACCACTACTACTACCACCACTACTACTACTACTACTCCTCCTCCTCCTACTACTACTACTACCACCACCACCACCACCACCACCACCACCACCACCACCACTACGTACTGTGGGGCGGATGAGGAGGAGGATGAATAGCAGCATCAATGGACGTCACCACAGGAGCATTTTCCAGTTTTTCCGAGAGGCGCGCCCCACGTGCCTTCTTAGCTCTCAAGAACATACGACCCCCGTGCATCTAGATTCGCAAACCAAATTGGAATCTCTCGCAGGGCGAGCTTAACCCTGACATTCCTGAGCTCGTCTAATTGCTGCCCGGCAAGAGATACAAACGCCAGGGCCTGAGAACGCGTGGATGCTTTGTTAGCTTTCTCAAGAATATCAGCCTTGGACACAACTGTTGCAATTTTGCTAAGGATGATCGCAGTACATGTCGGGTTGAGGTCAATGAATGCGTCGGAAATCCAAACGAAGCGCTTTGTCTTTAAAGCAGAAATGTAAGTCATCGCAACACCGTCTTTATCATTGGATCCGGCCTTTTTCTTCAAGTACGCCACATCACATACCGTGCCACCGCCCAGCGCCACGCACAGCCGAGTTTTAAAGCCAACGGTATCCGCCAAACTCCGCACAACGAAGACGGTCGCATCGTCCCTATTCATAGTCCTCACCAGACCACATTTTGCAATATATATGTAGTTGCCTTGTCGGAAAGCGATTGCACTTCACGCACAAACACTTTGACCCTGACGCAGCCCTGTCCGCCTTCATTGTTCGAGCCACGTCCAGCAATGGCAGAGAAGGAGGCACCCAGGGAGAACCAGTATTGGATCCAACGTGGGGCAATCCTGAGACCCAGGGAAGGGGACTGAGGAAAGTCCGGCAGAGAGGGACGCCAGAAAATCCCAGGAAGCTCACCCCGTCATGGTTTCACGAGTGTCTCCCCGCATGGTTTCACTGCTGTCACCCCTCATGGTCTCACGACTGCCCCCCATCATGGTGTCACGAATGCCCCCCCCCCACCCTCTATGGGTTCACGATTGCCCTCCTCATGGTATCAAAGGTATCTCAGTGCGACCCTACCTAGGAGTTGGAGTCCCTAGGAAAGCAGCATAAGCTAAGCTAAGCTAAGCTAAGCTAGAGATGAGCTCAGCTAAGCTAAGCAAAGCAAGGCTAGGCTAGCCTAGGCTAGTCTAGGCTAAGCTAAGCTAAGCTAAGCTAAGATGGGATAAGCTAGGCTAAGCTAGGCTAAGCTAAGCCAAGTTAAGCTAAGCTAAGCTAAGCTAGGCTAGGTTAAGCTAAGCTAAGCTAAGCTTAATCTAAGCTAAGCTAAGCTAAGCTAAGCTAAGACCAGCTAAGCTCAGCTCAGCTAAGCTAAGCTGAACTGAGCTAAGATGAGATAAGCTAAGCTCAACTAAGCTGAGCTAAGCTAACTACGCTAAGCTAAGCTAAGCTAAGCTATGCTCACCCAGGGGGCGCCACTGGGGGAACCGCGGGGCGGGGACTGGGGGAACCGCCCGCGGCGGTTAGCACTGCCCGGCCCCTTAAAGTACAGAAAGTAAGAACCCTCTAGGCAGAGCCTAGGTAGGGACCTATTAGTTGCGGTGCTGTTCGTATTGTTTGCAGCTGGTGGTGATGTGTTTGGTGTTGTTGGCGGTGCTGCGTGTATTCTTATCGATGGTGCAGTGTGATTGTTGCTGGTGGTGCTGCTGCGTGACTTGGTTGCTGGAGGGATGGGTTAGATGAGGATGAGGATGAGGACGGAACAAAAGCAGGAGGAATAGGAGGAGTGACATTGAAGAGGAGGAAGGGGATCTGCGGGGGGAAAGGGGGACCTACGGAGAGGGGGAGGATAAAGAAATATACAGGGCAGCGAAGGGAACAAATCTGGATTTGGGCAGCACGCCCCCCCCCCTCATCCATCTGCGCTGGGCATGAACTGGGAGGAGGGAGTTACATTATGAGGGGGGGTCAGGGGGGTGAGATACAGGCCAGGCGCGGGGTACAAACGCTTTCAAAACACGCGACACCTGATCCGAGAGCTTGCAGTCGATGAAAGCACATCGGCCGACCAAAGAAGGGCCAACATGACGTCGAGGTGCCAAGTTTTTTGTTGACGGCCTCTTTCTGAAGCCTTTCATCAGCCTTGCATACAATCTGTTGTCGACGCAGAACTGCTGCGTCAAGGTCCTCGACTCGCTCTTCCTGCAAAAGAACACCATGCTCCGCTGCATCTAAATATTCTTGCACATACTTTGACTCATTGAAATCTTTCTCCTTGACATGTTTTGACGTCCACGCTGCATGTGACGCTGCATCTGGGATCTGTGCGCGCTCCGTGGCCTCCGCGGTGAACTTTGACACAGCTGCTCGCCGGTGGTCAATGAAGGCTTTCTCGGTGCTTTCTTTCGCTGCCCCACTTTGCAGTAGGCGGCGCTTCTTCGGAGCAGACGTCCGAGTGCTGCCGAACCATATTGAGAAAAGCCTCTTGGCGGATTTCACTATTGCTGGCCATTCCCTCTTATCTTTTGCATTGAAAATTTCCATTTCATCAAGAGTGTGATCATGCAAGAGAAGACCCCTTCGTGGCCCCATTGCCATATCAGCTTGTGAGAACAGCCGCTCCACGCCAGTGCTAGATGCACACCATGATGCGTATCGAAGAAGAACGGCTCTCAAGACTGCTGGCTGTCGTCCGCGCCTGTCTGATGTAGCGGTTGACGTCCAAGCCTCTAGGTTACTGCAAGCATGCTGGCCATGAGATTCACGAGCATATGTGAGATATTGCGTGTATTCGCTCCACAACTGTCCAAAATCCAAATTCAGAATGTGCGCCAAACGTCGGAGCCCTTTTATGGGCCGCCCCGCCATCTGCCAGAAATAATCGAAAACCGTCGATCGATAAATGTTCCATTTGGCCCAGATCAAACCCGACAAAAACTTTGAATCACTTCGAACTCTGGAAACTCAGCTGATGCTATGGATTCGGCCTCCAAGACCCAAGCTTGCATTCGGCCGAGCGCGCGACCCACAATGTCTGGCGTCGCCCCCACCGTCGGCGCCCCAATCTGTTTCGGCTGCCCATACAGAGCGAACACGTACCGACCACCATTGGCGAGATTTTTCAACATCATTTTGGTATAACCACTGTGCAGGCATATACCGTCGAAGTAGAGCGCTCGTATGCGGTCCAAGTAATCATGCACCCATCCAGCGAGTTTAGCTGGATCAAAATCTTCTGAGTCGAATCGCTGCACAAGGGAATGGGTTTCGTCACCGGCATCTGCCATCATCGCCAATACAAGCGCTGATTCTGTGGACAACCACGTCAAGAAAGATTTGGCAAAGCGGCCTTCCTCCTTGCCATGACGCCCGCGCATGGTGCGGACCATCGTCCGCACGAGAGGCCAGAATTTTAAGGCCGCTCTCCCAAATGGTTTCTGGTGACTTTCGAATCTATGCTTCGCAGACCTCAAATCTACGCGACCCTCGGGATGAGCTAGCCGAACCTCTGCATCACCAGCTCTTTCATCTTCCAGAACCAATCCGCTGAAG